TGAAACGTCTTCAAGCAACTCAAAGAAGTCCAGACGCTTTTCTCTCCAAGCTCCTTAGACTAGACCTGGATGACTGAGAACCTTCACAGACACAGTATGTCTGTAGTTAGTGCAGGCTATCTGATCAGAGCATTCTGCTTGGCCCGTTAAATTCAAGCTTATCGTTCATCGGTGGATTTGTCTTCTGCACACAGGTGGTTCAGATCTGGGCAGTTGGAGTCAGATGATGACTTTTAGAAATATCTTTTCTGACTGAATGACTAAAACTTGCAGCATTTACCCGTCTGTAGTGAATCCTCCCACATTTCAGTCATTCAGTGATTAAAAGAATATGAACTTTTAATATTCATTCAGATGTTTTCTGACTAAATTTCTTTTGTCATTACTCAGCTTTTTCTAATATAAATTTTAAACACGTTCAGCTACTTTTCAACTTCTTCTGTGTGAACGTCAGCTTTCAACAGTTCTGCACTTTAGTTTTCAGGTGAAGAATTCAGAACAACATTCAGCAACATTCATTTCAGCTCAAAACATTCAGCTATCAGCATTCACGCTGCAGTGTCTTTAGAAAATGCATTTTCTAGTTACCTTTTGTTTCCAGCTTCTTATTGGTTGTTACATGAATTTAATGCTAGTATTTCTCAAACATAAAACTACGACTGTAATAAATAACTAATAGCAGGTAATAGCTTCTCTTTCCCCTGGGTCACAGGTTGGCAGTTTGCATAACTCTATTAACACACATGCTATATGTATTCATTTATCCTCCCCCAGTTAGATCTGTGATCCACCTGTCTGTCCCCAGCTAATCCTTTTCTCCTGTTCTTTTGATGTTGAAGTTTGCTGACACCTGCCTTAGTTAATTGTAAGGACAACACTTTATCTTAAACTTTATCTAAAGGTTTAAACAAATCTATCCTGAAAAACAAACATTCATTCTTAGCTTCCTCCACACCTCCTCTGTACTCAGTGTTGTTCCTCCAGTCTGTTAAGTCAATTTCCGCAGTGCCTGCAATTACCAGCTCCAGTTCCCTGGCATCAAACACAGACACCAACCTGGCATCCACCACCTGCAAAAACATTCAAAATGTAAAACAGTGAGATCTTTTTTACACTGTACATTTAGGGGCACTAGAGATAAACTGGGTGATGCATAACATGTGAAATATATATAAAACTCTGTCACACTAAGCCATACCTCATAGAAGCCTCTGACCAAGCTTTCAGTCTGGTGCACCACTCCTCTCTCTATCCTCCACTTTACCATGCGCTCAATGTATTCCTTCTTGTTCTTCTCTGAGACAGGAATGTTGGCTCCACCGGGCTTCAGCTCCCTTTCTGTTATCTATGGCAAAACACAATTATTTGGTGGATATCAGGGATTGTTTCCTTTCTAAATCATGAACGGTTAACGAGATTCAAGCTAGAGTGTCTTTCCTCCTCCTCTGCACCACTGTTCAAACTGCAGGAGAATCACTTTTCGTTCTCAAATCCAATTTCGAGATTTTCTACCCTGTTATTTGCAACAGCGTATATTGGCAGTACATTCTGTATCTTCACATATATCCAACAACATTTCTCTAAGTGTTTCAATGATGAAAGTAAATCTAGTATCTTTATTTTTCAATTATCTTACATTATATTCACTTACAGACGTGAACAGCATGCTACCTGACTGGACAGTGCTGTGCAACACCCACATTACCAAACTTGGTGTTGGTGACAGCATGCGATGTTGTCTGGTGTTGCAGATTGCCCACCCTTGGTTGGTCAAGTTTGTTTATTTGTTGGTCAGAATTGTTTAGGCCCCATGAAGACCTCTAGTGAATAAAGTTAACAAAAACTCAAAGTAAATGAAACGACTGTAAAATAATGAAAAAGGATTGATAAAACTGGCAAATCACTCGGTAACCCTCATCCACTGGAGAGACGGGTGAGACTCCTTACACTGCCAAGGCATCTGGGATGTTGGCTTGGTGTGAGGCCAGGATTGTACCCAAGTTGTGTATTTTAATTTGGTAATTGGACTGGTGCTTTTCTACTCTACCTGAGCACTCAAAGCCCTCAATACAATTTGCCTCAGTCACCAACTCACACAAGCACTCTGCTTTCTCTAAGTCACGTTGAACTATCTAACATTCACACATAAGTATCGTATTTGGCATGTCGACCGAAGCAGCCAGGGAACCACCAACCATCCGATTAATAGATGGCCTGCTCTACTTCCTGAGCAACAGCCACCCCCATTTGTTGAAAGTATAGTTGGTGTACACACACACACAAGCACGCACACACCTACATACACTGACCTGTCCAAAAACTTCTTCATTGACAGTGAAGGAGAGGTCCAGCATATCGTCTATGTCGTTGTCCTTCATCCACTGAAGAGACTGGTGAAACTCTTCATCCAAATACTCCAGATCACTCAGGTCACAGGGACTACAAGTTGGGAAAGGCGGATAATGTGTGTCTGCTGTCTTAGACCCACATACAGATTAACTTATCCTCACACTGGCTCTTGTTCACAGTTAAAATCTGTTTAAAAATGTACATATATATATTTCACCAAACTGTGTATACATTAGTCACTTTGTTAAGTACGTATTTCTAGTACTGAGTTGGACCCCTGTTGCATTCAGAACTGCCATAATTCTTAATGCCAGACATTCAACAAGATGCTAGAAACATTCCTCACAGATTTTGACAGGAGTGGCACCTGGTGTAGCGCATCTGCACCAAGCTCCTCTGCCTGCTTTGGTTGGTTGGTTATTTTCACATTACTATCAGCTTGAAGTGCTCTGGCCATTGTCCTTTGACCTCTGGCATCAACACATGTTCAGAGAACAGCCACTCACAGGATATTATATATTTGTCATACTATTCTCTGTAAATCCTAGATTCCCAGCTTTTGAAATAGCAGACCAGCCTGTGTGACACTAAAAACAATGACACTTCAAAGTAACTTAATCACCTCTCTTGTCCATTCTGATGGTTGTTGTGACCATGTCTACAAGCATTAAGTTGCTGTCATATTATTGGCTCAATAGGTGCGCTGGACAGCTGTCAGAAGACTGCTGTGGCTGGTGTGGTTTGGGGTTCAGCTGCAGGGGAAGGGTGGTGGAGCAGCAGGCTCAGGGGACAGCGTCAGGGCAGAAACAGCTGATTCTGATTGGACTGATTGTTTTTTCCTCTCCTTATTTTAGTATCTGCTGGGGCCTGGAGAGTAGGGATCGCCCCAAGGCTGAAGAAATGCCAAGAGGGCTGGAGATGGGCTGAGTTAGCGTGTGCTGTAAACACACACTGACCCAGAACACACTTCTATAGCAGCTATAGTTATAGCTGCAGTATGTTGGCCCACAAAATATTAAACCCTGGATTAAGAATGTTATATCACTCAAGACGAGCGAAAACATAGGATATATGTGTTAACGAGCAGCTGCTCAGGCGTACCTAGCAAAATGGCAGGTGGGCGTATACATACAGACATTTCACGTGCATTTGAGTATTGTGTGTCAACATACATCCGAAGTAGGCCTTTATAGAAGGGTCTGGTGAAGAAGGCATCCAGCAGGTACTGATGGATCAGAGCCATTCCCAAAATGCGACCACTGAATCGGAACCTGAGGCACACACAAACACAAAAGTTAAATACTGTGTGTGTGTGTGTGTGTGTGTGTGTGTGTGTGTGTGTGTGTGTGTGTGTGTGT